CAAATGCACCCTAAATTTCCTCAAAAGGGATATTCCCCCTAGGGGTGAGCATGGTCCGAGTGAACGGTTCCCACCCTAAAATCGGGAACCGCCCGTTGATTCCATAGAGCCACCCGGGAATCGGACCGCCGGTCCGGTCCGGTTCCCGGGTGGGTCTATGGAACCGGACCCACCAACCTTCATATGTCCACATTGTAATATGTTACACAAGTTCAACTTGCTGTTCAGACATTGCTCTTCAAGTTAGGAACTTCCTAACAAGCCAGAGCCAAAGACTAGAAAGTGGAAACCTTCACCTGTTGTTCAAAATTTCTAAATATGACCGCATAAAGACATTTGTGCCAAGAACTTCCTAACAAGCCAAAGCCAAAGACATTGCAATAGCTACATTTAGGAGTGTAACTTTCCACCCCTTTTTCATGTGAAGAAGCCAGACAGTGGACTTCAACAATTTTGGTCTTCATTCCTTCCATAAGAAGAGCAGATGACTACACAGACACTAGCATGAAATGTTGTAACATGGAGGACAGGAAACTGTCATAGGTAATCAAATGTATACTGCTCGTCACTCGCACTACAAAAAAACAAGGATTTTGCCACGAAAATTAGCCACGAAAAAATTTTTGTCGCAAATTTGCGACGAATTTTGCCACGAAAACTAAATTCGTCGCAAATTAGCAACGAAAAATTTTTCGTGGCAAATTTGCGACGAAAAAATTATTCGCGGCAAATTTGCCATGAAAAAATTATTCGCGGCAAATTTGCCACGAATTTCAAAAAAATGCATTTATTCTAATATGTTGGAAATTCGTAGAAAATTTGCCATGAATTTCAAAAAAAACATTTATTCTAATATGTTCGAAATTTGCCACGAATTTCCAAAAAAGCATTTATTCTAATATGTTCAAAATTCGTTGCAAAATTCGTGGCAAATTTGCCACGAATTTTGCCACGAAAAATCAAATTAAGCCGGGGATGCCGGAAACTTGATTTTCGTGGCAAATTTGCCACGAATTTCAAAAAAGGCATTTATTCTAATATGTTCGAAATTCGTTGCAAAATTCGTGGCAAACTTGCCACGAAAAATCAAATTAAGCTGGTATGCCGGAAACTTGATTTTTCGTGGCAAAATTTGTGGCAAATTTGCCACGAATTTCGTACATATTAGAATAAATGTCTTTTTTTGAATTTTGTGGCAAAATTTGTGGCAAATTTGCCACGAAATTTGCCACAAATTAAAAAAACGCGGCATTTATTCTAATATGTTCGAAATTCATGGCAAAATTCGGGGTAAATTTGCCACGAAAAATCAAATTAAGCCGGGTATGCTAGAAACTTGATTTTCGTGGCAAAATTCGTGGCAAATTTGCCACGAATTTCAAAAAAAGGCATTTATTCTAATATGTTCGAAATTCGTGGCAAAATTCGTGGCAAATTTGCCAAGAATTTCAAAAAAAGCATTTTTTCTAATATGTTCGAAATTCGTTGCAAAATTCGTGGCAAATTTGCCAACGAATTTTGCGACGAAAAATCAAATTAAGCCGGGGATGCAGGAAACTTGATTTTCATGGCAAAATTCGTGGCAAATTTGCCATGAAAATCAAAAAAAGACATTAATTCTAATATGTTCGAAATTCGTGGCAAAATTGCCACGAATTTTGTCACGAATTTCAAAAAAAGCATTTTTCCTAATATGTTCGAAATTCGTTGCAAAATTCGTGACAAAATTTGCCACGAATTTCAAAAAAGGGCATTTATTCTACTATGTTTGATTTTCGTGGCAAAATTGGTGGCAAATTTGCCACGAATTTTGCCACGAAAAATCAAATTAAGCCGGTAAGTCGGAAACTTGATTTTTCGTGGTAAAATTTGTGGCAAATTTGCCACCAATTTTGCCACGAATTTCAAAAAAAGGCGTTTATTCTAATATGTTCGAAATTCGTGGTAAATTTGCCACAAATTTTGCCACGAAAAATCAAATTAAGCCGGGTATGCCGGAAACTTGATTTTCGTGGAAAAATTCGTGGAAAATTTGCCACGAATTTTTCCACGAATGTCGAACATATTAGAATAAATGCATTTTGTTGAAATTCGTGGCAAATTTGCCACGAATTTTGCCACAAAAATAGAACATATTAGAATAAAATGCCACGAGACTTGATTTTCGTGGCAAAATTCATGGCAAATTTGCCACGAAAATAGTACTAGAATAAATACCTTTTTTTTGAAATTCATGGCAAATTTGCCACAAATTTTTTAAAAAAAAGCTGACAAACAATTACCAATTTAAAAAATAAAAAAATTTTGCGACGAATTTTTTTTTCGTGGCTAATTTGTGACGAAAAATTATTGGTGGCTAATTTGCGAAGGATTTAGCCACGAATTCGATAATACCAATTTAAAAAATAAAAAAGATTTGCGACGAATTATTTTTCGTGGTGATTAGCGACGGATTTATCTATGAATTTGACATTACCAATTTAGAAAATTTGTGACGAAAAAAATCCGTGGCTAATTAGCGATGGATTTAGCGACAAATTTGACATTAACAATTTAGAAAATAAAAAAATTTTGCTACGAATTATTTTCCGTGGCTAATTAGCGACGGATTTAGCGACGAATTTGACATTAACATTTTAGAAAATAAAAAAAAATTTGCGACGAATTATTTTCCGTGGCTAATTAGCGACGAACAAAAAAGTTCGTCGCAAAATTACATATTAATTATAAGATTCCAGAAGCCGAAATAATAAAAGATAATACTTCTTATAAAACTTCATTCCTTTTATAGGGCTTATACAACCTTTTAAAATTATCATTTTAGGGACTTATAGGGACTCCTTTTATAGGACTTATACAACCTTTTAAAATTACTAATGATGGTATCGAGACCAAATTTTTTAAAAAAGGAAAATAATTTTTAATATTATAAGCAAACCACAAACCAAGAACTTAAGTACACTTCAGGAACAATCCGTTTCTGAAATAAATTGTATTATCCAAAATAAGAAAACCACCTTCAATATTTAAAAGAAGACCTTGAACATAAAAGAATTGAGCAAAATTTTTCTGATTCTACTATTAAGAAAATAGTTGCTAATCTTGAAATTTGCATAAAAAGTTCTATATGTTCGACACTTCCTAATGCTTTTTGGTCTAAAAAATATCATATAGTTGATTTACCTTATGAATCTTAATTTTTTGAAAAAGAAATCTCGACCAAGGCAAGACCTTCCTAAATAAATCAGGAAGTCATGAATTTTTGTCAAAATGAAATCCAAGAACTTCTTGATAAAAATCTCATTAGAAAGGGCCAATCATCTTGGAGTTGCTCTGTTTTTTATGTAAACAAAAATGCTAAATTAGAAAGAGGAGTTCCAATATCGGTAATCAACTATAAACCTTTAAATACAACTCTGAAATGGATAAGATATCCAATTCCTAATAAAAAAGACTTATAGAATAGATTACACAATTCAAAATTATTTTATAAATTTTATATGAAATCAGGATTTTGGCAAATACAAATCAATGAAAAGGACATATATAAAACTGTCATCACTGTTTCACTACAAAAAAACAAGTATTTCGCCACGAAAATTAGCGACGAAAAAATATTCGTCGCTAATTTGCGACGGAATTTGCCACGAAAAAAAAATTCGTCGCTAATTAGCGACGAATTTTTTTTTGTGGCTAATTTGCTACAAAAATTATTCGTGGCTAATTTGCAACGGATTTAACCACGAATTCGACATTACCAATTTAAAAAATAAAAAAAATTTGCGACGAATTTTTTTCCGTGGCTAATTTGCGGCGAATTTAGCCACGAAAAAAATCCGTGGCTAATTAGAGACGGATTTAGCCATGAACTCGACATTATCAATTTAAAAAAAATGAAAAAATTTTGCGACGGAATTAGCCACGAAAAATAATTTGTCGCAAATTTTTTAAATTTTGTGAGGTCAAATTCGTCACTAAATTCGTGGCTAATTAGCCACGAATTTTTTTTCGTCGCTAAGGGCCCGTTTGGTAACGTGCCAAACAGTGAAAATTTCTATTCTTTTGTTCCCAGAAATAGTTTGGGAACAGAAATGGGTTTGGTAAACTTTTTGTTCCCGAGCACATTTTTGCAAAAATTTGTGCCCAGAAACAGTTTTGGAAAATAAATAAGAAGTAAAAAAAAGTTGCTTCTTGTTTCTCAGCATAATTTTGAGAATAAGCTCTTTTTCTTCTTTTTCTTTTTTTTCTTTTCTTCTTTGTGTTGTTCTTCCCTGGGCTGTGGCCGGTCGCCGGCGACCGGCCATAGCCCAGGGCCGATAAGGGCGTCACGGCCCTTGCCGGCGAGGGTGAGGGCTGGACCCTCGCCGCCTGGCCAAGGTGGCTTGCCGTCGATCATGGCGAGGTCGCCCTCGCCCAGATCGGGCGAGGCCGAGCCTCGTCGTCGCGACTAACGGCGAGGTCGGCTTCACCGTGGGTCGCGACGGCGAGGCTCGGCCTCGCTCGATCCGGGCGAGGCCGAGCCTTGCCGTCGCGACCCACGGTGAGGTCGGCCTCGCCGTCGCGACCCACCTGCGATGCCGACCTCGCCGTCAGCAACCGACGGCGAGGCTCGCCTCGCTGATCCGGGCGAGGCGGCAGTGCGGCGGCGAGGCGGCGCGTGTGAGGCGAGCGGCGGTGGCCGGCCCGTGGCTGGCCGCCAAGGCCAGCGACCGGCCATGGCCAAAGAAGGGAAGGGTAGAAAAAAAAAAAAAGAAAAAAATATTAAATAATTTAAAATATTATTAAAATATTATTAATAAAAAGAAATTTTGTGTAGTTACCAAACGTATTTCTGTTCTTTTCTATCCCAGGAATAAAAATTTTGGATAGTTAGCAAACGCTTTCAAATGCTCAGAAATTATTTCCGGATACAGAATAAAATAGAATCATTTCTGAGTAGAAATAATTATGAGGTACAGAATGATTGTCATGCGCACCCTAATTAGCCACGAAAGATAACGTTCGTCGCTGATTTTGCTTCCCGCCCTCTCTCAGATCTGCCCGCCCTCACCCTAATTTTTTTTCTCTGCCTCTCTCTCTCTGCTATTCCTCAGATCCCCCCTCCGCCAAACACCTCTCCGTCGCTCCCCCCTCCCCTCCGCCAGCCATGATGGCCACCCTCACCACCATCGCCGTCGCTTCGTCCTCCGTTGCCATACGCCCGTTCTGCGCCCACCAGCCCTCCCTCGCCCCAGATCTGGGCGAGGTCGAGCGGCCTCGCCCATGGCCGCCGCTCGACCTCGCCCATGGCTGCTCGACCTCTGGGCGACGGCGAGGGCGAGCGGTGGCCATGGGCGAGGCCGGGATCCGGTGCTTCGTTGCCGAGGGCCGCCGGCGGGGGACTGGTTGATTGCGTGGTGGTCGGGGGCGGGATCGGCGAGCTCTGCATCGCCGCGCGGAGCCCGTTCTTCGGGACCGCGTTCGCGGAGAGCGAGAGCGGGGCGAGGCTCGAATCGGCGTGAGTTCTTTCTTGGGTGTTCTTCCTTTTTTTTTTCTGGGGAAAAGGAAGAAAATGGAGAGGAGTACGCCGGTGAGGAAGCCTCACACTTCGACTTCAGATCTGCTCACGTGGTCGGAGACTCCGCCTCCCCACGATTCGGTCGCGCCCGGTTCGGCTTCCTCTCGCTCCAATGCTCGCTCTCACCAGGTGCGGCGTTCGCTATCACCTTCTGCCTTTTTTTTTTTTATCTTCTTGGGCTTTCCTTTTTTAACGGGTTGTTCTGGGGGATGATGCTGTTAGCCTTCGGATGGGATCAGCAAGGTGGTGTTTGGAGGTCCAAGTGACTGCAGAGAAATCTGAGAATTTGAACAAAAGGTTAGATCTGCTCTTCTTGGTTTTTTTCCCCTCTCCTTGTTTGTTGATGACGTTTTGTGTTTTTTCCCCTTAAATGCAATGTTTCATTTGGCGGAATGGGTCGCCACCGTTTTACCTATTTGTCCGCATTCTCTCCATGTTCTCCAATGCTTTGGATTTTCTTTCTTTAGAAATTATGGTTGGATTGTGTAATATAGGTTCAATGTGGATGTGTAGTGATCGATCTGCGGGGAATGAGGGCAGAAACTTTGAATCCAACATGATAATCTTTACCACCTTCATTTAAATTACAAAAGAAGGGAAATTTTTTTGGGGGTGGCTGTTGATGGAGTAATCTTGGTCAATTGGGTGGATCTTAGAACTTCAGATGCCTTGGTAGGTCGAGCTTGCTCATCTTCCTTGGCCTTAGAAGTCTGGTTGGCCTCTTGAGCTTGATTCTATTGCAAGCCCTCATGTCTAATTGAGATAGTCCAGTCATTCCCCTTCCATTCAATGGCTCTTCAATTAATAGTAATTAGATGGACAGCGTAAGTTCCTTAGATGTCCAGATTCGAGAAGTAAACATTTCTTTGGCGACTATCATATGGGGCTCCTTCAATGTCTGCTGAACTTCTGCGGTCATGAAAATGCCGATTTGATCATCCCATTGACAATCTACCGAACTCTGATCTAGATACAATTGTAATAGGTGCTTAGCTGATGCGAACTTATTTTTGATGTCTTTTCAATTTGCGTATGTGAAATATGTTATTGACATGTGAAAGCTCTAGTCCATGTAAGAGTAGGTTGTTCTTAGTCCATTCATGGAAAGGAGATGGCATTTTGCTGAGGATTGGTAAGTCACAAATAGTGCATCGTCAACATCCTTCTAAAAAGTGCTGCAATAGAAACAATTGTTTGTTGCTAGATTAGGAAAAGGTTCAATCCATGGATAACATGTACATACAGAAAAGTATGTACATACAGAAAAGTCATTACATATACAATTACAAATACATGCACGCACAAACATGTCCATCTAAAAAGCCAGTTACTTGGCTATCTATCTATCTTTTTTCGTACACATATAGAATGGGGATGAATATTTGGCACAAATGCACATGCACCCACACAAAGGCGCACAAGCATGCATGTTTGGTTGTGGGCACGCTCTCATGCACACGTGACCTTTTTATATCCTCCTTGTCAAGAGAGTTACATAAGCTTTCATAATGCCTTTGCACTTGGACTCCGCTTATTGTGGCTTTTTCCTTGTCTTCTTCTTCATAGAATAGCGCTTTTGTAATCTTCTAGGAAGTCTTGTTCTGCCTACAAGTTGAAAGAAATCACCGGTAGTGGGATTTTTGCTGCCAATGGGGAAGATGATTCATTGGAGCCTGGAAGTGCCAACCCTGCTTCAAATAACAAAACAGGATTAAAGATGTACCAGGTATGTTTTACTGTGCCGATTGTATTTGACCTTTTAAATTGGTGCTGAGTCCATGATGATGTATGTAAGCTCTTTTGGTGGTAAACAAGTTTTCAGTGAGTTTTATACAGAAATAGCAACTCTAGTTTAACACTTTGCTGCTGCATTCTCGATTGTCATTTTGGTGAGAACTTGTGATGACATTGGGTTCACACTGTAAAATCATGTAATAGGTGGCAGAGGCAATAGCAAGTTAGTTTCATTTTGTCAAGTTTAGCTCTTACTCTTTGAAACAAAATGGTTAGCTTTTGCACTGTTTTTCATCAGAAATTAAACCTGACAACCAACAAATTCTTCACCCTTTTATCTGAAAAGAACATGTCGAGCAAAAGGGTTAGCTTTTGCATTGTTCAAATTTCCAAAAGGGTTAGCTCTTGCACTGTATACTCGATAATGGCACCATATTTGTTTTCTGTATGCCTAAGTTTAGACAGTTTACTTTATTTGATCAGTAAACAAATTCTAGTTTCGGATTCGCATGTTTAGTTATCCATTGGGTCTGTTGTGAGCTTTTCTTCTACATGGTAAGCATGCTGTATCTTCTATTGGTTTGAGGTTTAATTTCTGGGTCTTGATTGAAATTCTGACTTCCTATCCACTTGGGCTGTTCCTGACTGTGCGTGCTTTGCCTTTTCTTTTAGTGCTTATATATGGAATTTCTTGAATAACGAAGTTATTCTTTTTGTATAACTCGCCTAAATCACCATGGTCTGAGCTAAAAACATTAGTGCAATGCAGGTCCTCCACAATATTGCGGTTGCTGAATACTTTCGTGATGGCTGTTCAGATCCAAGAAGATTGCTTGAAGTACTTAATAACGTCAATGTGTGGCAGTCCTTCAAACACACTCTCTTCAGAATATGCGATCTACTCTAAGCTATTGAGTTTTCAATCAATCTTGATATGTTGTGTTGAACACAGTGGGAGTAGGCGAGAGGGAAACACTGATAGTTGCTTCTAAATTATCATCTAGACATCGATGAAGGAGGTGAATTACTTTGAACTTTGTCATTCGTGTGGCAAATGTTGATGAATGTATTTCATTTATATATCATTATAATATTTTGATGTTATTAACTGCTTAATCAATGTTAAATATAAATTCTAGAAATTAAAATCGAAATTGTCCCTAAACAATATTCGTCGCTAAATTCGTTCCGGAACAATATTCGTTGCAAAAGTAAAAAATTTTCGTGGCAAATTAGCGACGAATTTTGCCATGAATAAGTTCGTCGCAAAAAACGTGACCAAAAAAACCTTATTCTTTTTATTTTTTTGTGGCAAATTAGTGACAAATTTTGTCATGGATTTTTTTTATATAATTTTTTTTTCAAAAAAAATATATTTTTATTTTTTTGTGACGAATTTGCGACGAATTTTGTCACGAAATATTTTTTATATAATTTTTTTTTCAAAATTTTTTTTATTTTTATGTGGCTAATTTGCGACCAATTTTGCTACGAATTTTTTTTATATACTTTTTTTTTCAAAAAAAAAATATTTTTTTTTACTTTTCTGTGGTTAAATTCATTAACGAACGAATTTAGCCACGAAATTTTGCTACAAATTTTTTTTCGTCGCAAATTACCAACGAAAATTACAATTTTTTGTCGCAAAAATTTCCGACGCCAAATTAGAGACGAATTTTTTTTCGTCCCTAATTTCATCGGAAATTCGTTTTGCCACGAATTTTACCACGAATAATTACGGACGAATTTTACCACGATTTTGCAACGAATAATTAGCGACGAATTTTAGCCACGAAATTTTGCAACGAATTTTGAACAATTTTTTCGTTGCAAATTACCAACGAAAATTACAATTTTTTGTCGCCTAAATTTCCGACGACGAATTTTTTTTGGTCGCTAATTTCGTCGGAAATTCGCTTTGCCATGAATTTTACCACGAATAATTACTGACGAATTTTGCCACGATTTTTGCAACGAATTTTCCCACGAATTTAATCTACGAAATTTTTTTCTTCGCAAATTACCAACGAAATCTAATCGCAATCATTTACAAGCTCCAAATTTCAGCTGATGTAGTCATTCGTAATCTAATCGCAATCATTTCGTGCATTTTTCCGCCAAAAATAGACAATTCAGAAGCAGCAAAATTCCACGAAACTGGAAAATTCACACTGTCATCCGCTCATCACCAGACCGGGAATGCTCATGGACTCGGATCAACATAGAACAGTAGTTCCTTAATGCTACGGAATCAAGGATTTCTCGAGACGAAGCAAGCGGACGATCGATTGCACGAAAGGAAGAGAGGGAGAGAGAGCGGCAACGAACTTGGCATGAAGAGGGAAGACGGAGTGGCGGGCGCGGTTTGTTCTCTGAATTACCAACGAAAATTGAAATTTTTTTGTTTGCAAAATTTGCGACGTACTTCGAATTAGCAATGAAATTTTTTCGTCACTAATTTCGTGGCAAAATTCGTGGCAAAACCCCTGTTTTTTTGTAGTGTCGGTGTATTAGTACAATCTCTATTAAAGTGAGTTGTGAGATTACTCTAGAACCGATAGATAAATGAGGACGCAAACACAGGCAGCCGAATTCCTATTTTCACAGCATCTCAGAGGCACAATCTCTTCCAAGTCACTTGAGAGAAAAAGGAAACCGAGAGTGAGAACCGCACGACGATGCCGCATCTAATTGCAGATTTTCCTAAAATTTCAAGGCCTCCTCATCTCTGTCAATACTTCACGGAAAAGTTAAAATCAATCTTTAGATTCAATCCTCAATAGAACTAGCAACGCACAGTTACAAGCTCCAAATTTCAGCTGATGTAGTCAGTCAGTCATTCGTAATCTAATCGCAATCATTTCGTGCATTTTTCCGCAAAAATAGACAATTCAGAAGCAGCAAAATTCCAAGAAACTGGAAGATTCACACTGTCATCCGCTCATCACCAGACCGGGAATGCTCATGGACTCGGATCAACAGTTCCTTAAAGCTACGGAATCAAGGATTTCTCAAGACGAAGCAAGTGGACGATCGATTACACGAGAGAGCAGGGAGGGGGGCTCACCGCCTGACACTTTTTTGTACGGCGATAGCCCAGTGGTAGTTAGCGAGAGAGTAGAGAACTTGATGTTGGGTTTGAGAATGAGAGTTAGAATTGAGAGAGAAATAGACACAGAGAGCAAACAGAGAGAGAGAGTAAGCGGTTATCAAAGTTTGTTATTGGTCAGTAAAAGGACCAAAGAAAATTTGGGATTCGAGTGGAGCCAACGGTCCCCGAGCGAACGATTGCATGACGGTGACCTCCGTGGTGAGCTGCTGCTGTTCACGAGGTTCGAAGACCTCGTTGCTGATTCTTTCATCAGGCTTCATCACGTCGATCACCCACCGTGGACGTCGAGACGGAGATTCAAATTTGGAAAGGAAAGAGAGTATCGAAGTTATCCGAAATAGAGAGCGTTCGATTTTTCCGAATTGAGTGATTTTTTGTCTTTGAGTTAGTTATTAGGATATATTCGAATGATGCATGGCATATTCGCAAGATTCCAAAATACTAAGTTAGGAAATTCCTAACTTAACAACGTGTCGGGACGATTATCCGATCTCAACCATGAGATACGATACTTCCGGAAAAGACGGAAAATCTTTATCCTGGTCCATAATTATTTGGATACGATAGTAGATTTTATTTTGTTCCAAATTCAAACGAATAGCCTTCCATCAATATCCATAACCACATGGATATGATCACGGTTTATATCGTTTCCCTAATTCAAAGATAATAAAACAAATCTTGCGGATCGCGTGGATTGGTTTTGATCGTGGTGGTTATCTGTCTATTTGATTTATTTCCTTTAAAAAGAAAATTCCAAAAAAAAGATTAGTTAGGATTTGAATTGATTTTATTAGAAGATGATGATGCATGTTTAGGATAGGTTTAGAATAACTTTCTTTGAATAAGTCGATAGGATGACTTTTTAATTTAAATTAGGAATTAGAGTAATTTATTTCTAGTTTAATTTAGATATTATCCTAATCTCGACGGTTCATTTTAGGGTAATTCTTGATTTCGAATTTTCATAAAAATACCAAAAGAAGTCACTTTAGGATAGATTAAATTATCCTTTTAGAATAGATTGCATGTTAATTTAGGCATTTTTTAATTCGAATTTCATTTGAAAATACCAAAAATAAATCATTTGTCCGTCATTAGAATTAGGTCACGTCGTCGCATGACATATAGTTTGCATGTTAGGCTGCATTAATCGCATGTTAATTTTTTTTCACGTCATTACATATAGGTTAGCTTTCATTTAAATAAGTGAAAATCCTAAAATATTGAGTGAACGCTTGTTAATTAGAAATCATATTACGATTGTTGATGTGATTTTCTAGCTAACAATGCAGATGCTTACATTGCTTCGAGGTAAGTAATTCTCCCAATCTTGCAATTTATTTAATGTTTTGATTATTGGGTGTTAAATTGGTGGTTTGCGACCGCATGAACATCTCACATGTTAGTGATTAGGCAATAAAATGGATCCAGTTGACTCGCATAAACATTTTTTTAAAAGAAAAGGTACCGAAAGGGCGTTAGACTAGATCTAGCGTAATGAAGTCCCCGAGCTTAGATCTCTGGTTCGTAGGAATAAAACATATCTCCCCTATATTTTATTTAGGTTTCTAATCGACCTACCACAAATAGATTAGTGGCGACTCCGAGCATGAAAACTTTTACATGTTAAAACTTAAACCCTAAGTTGCGAATTGGTAGGGCTTAGGAGGGCCGAGTTAGGCTTAGTCTTAATAATCCATTAGCCTGAGAGAAATTTTAGGTCACGACAAGTACGACGTGTTAGAATGGTGAATTGTGTTGTGGTCATTTGGAATTGGTGGTGTGATATTTGATTATGTGAAAGACGTGGAAATTGATTGAATTATATGGCGTGTGTGTTTGCTTGAACAAGCCCGGATCGATCGGAGGGCTACCAACCTGTAGGGTGTTGACCCGGGTCGTGAGAAAGGTCCTGGAGCGTGTTGACGCGGGACAAAGCCCGGATTGAGACTCGCGAGGCCTAGCGGCGAGGGTTGCGACCCCTCATAGAGCCCTGGAAGCTGTTCTTAGGGCATTACCGGCCATGGCTATGGAAAAAAAGAAAAAAGAAAGAAAGAAATATTAAAAAATTCAAAATATTATTAAAATATTATTAATAAAAAGAAATTTTATGTAATTATCAAACGTATTTGTTTCATTTTCTATTCTAAGAATAGAAATTTTGAAGCTTATTAAACGCCTTCAACGCTTAGAAATTGTTCTGGGACACGAGAATAAAAAGAACCATCTTTGTAACTGAGGGGGCCTGGAGCCCAAACAGAAAATGGTGTTCGAGCACGGGACCCAGGTCTTGTGGTATTCGGATTGGGACCGTGGAGGTTTGGGTGTGGGCCTAGAGCCCTTTTTTAGGCCTTTAGTTTAGGATTTATGATTTTTTAAATTAAAAATTAAATAAATATATTATATTATATTATCAGTCGGTTTGGCCAGTGGCGAGCGTTCCACAATAGGAATCGAAGCCGAACCACTCTATCGGTTCCGGGCAGTTTTTATTCTTTTGCACACTCCTAATTCCCCCCTTTGAAGCACGAGGGTAATCTCGTCTATTCACAATCCCTCTGTATCTATCCCGTACTGAGGAGCGAAACTGGCGCTAATATGACCACATGCTGGAATCAAGACACACGTGTCGAGATCACGTGCCCCCTCGATCATCTCCCTCGCGAAGTCACGTGGCCTCCCCCTTTTGGAACTATCTTCCCCCTCTTCGCAGCTCGCGGTCCCGATTTTTTTCTCTATTTTTTCTTTTCCTTTTTATTATTTATATATATATTTTTTATCTTTTTTGGTTTCCTTTGACAACGATAACACGAGCGCTGAGGATGGACCAGAGTCGTGGAATTTCTCGTGTACACAAGTGATGTCACGTCATATATATACATCAGCTCGTTCAGTGAGTGACACGTGTTGCTTTTGGCTCCACCTATCAGAAATTGGCATGGTCTCTCCCCTCTCTCTTCACGCCGCCCCCGCCTCGTCCGTCACCTCCATTT